ACGCTAAACTTACCTCTCTTTCAATTTTTGGTATCATACCGAAGTGATAAATTGAACCCAAAGGGTGAGCCCATAAGAGAACGAAAACATCACATGACAAAAATATCTATTAAACCAGGAGCAGAACAACATTGACATAGTTAATGTTTGGAGAAGCAAGGGACCCAACTTAGGGGACTATGCGACCTGGTCCTTAGAGATTTCTACGGATAAACTACAACACAATTCTTATTACGGGGCTAATATGTTTGGCATGGGCGTATCACTCATAATAAAGCTGGATGAGGATTCAAAATTGGCGATGTTATAGGGAGCTAAAGTATACCCTAAAATGTAATAATTTTTTCTAAAAAAATGGTAATTAAAATCAAAAAGTAATAAACTACCCAAAAAGGAGATAAATTAATAATCAAATTAAAAAGTTGGTAAATTCTATCCAAAAAAAAACTCTTAATTTCAACCCAAAAAAGAGTTTGATGGTACAGTAAATAATCATTTTCAGTATCGTGGCCAAACCCTAACAAAAATTACCCTCAACTTCCCTTCTTTTTTTCCAACAAAGCAAATAAACGTGTGTGTGTGTCAAGCTATGTAGATAATTGGGGAAGATATGTATAATAATTAGTATATGTAAACTTTCATCTCCAGCAACAGACTTGGGTTTCACATAGTACGAGACACCATATCAGTGCCCAACCAATATTGTTGCCCATTTTCTTGTCGTGTAGATCTTTGGCGTTGTCCACAAAATAAACAAAGGTATTGCCCACGTGAGGTGCTTATTTTGGCGTAATGCCTCACAGCTGTACATGGAAAAAGTGCACATGTGAAAGTGTTGTTGTACTATCAGTACCCACTTCAATAAGTGGAACAATATGTCATAAGCTTTATTGATAACCACTGGCTCCTCCACTGCTCAAACAAGGAGCAAAAATGCAAGTATGAAGAAGGTCTTAAGTTAGATAGAATTTTGAATAATGCACTGATTTACAGGTGATTATGTACATTTTAGATTTACAATGCAAACTTGGAATTTAGATGATTTGTAGGTTTGTGGGATCCACAACAAAGAAGTGCATTAATAGTCTCTTTATTTGGTCATTTACAAGGATGCTTTTTTACTTATACATGACAAAGGTTTGAGAATTACATTTTAGTTTTTGAGTGAACTTATATCACCTACAAGATTTTTATACTACATACAATGTAGTATTAAATAGCACCACATCTAAGATGGGATTTGAGCAACTATTCATTATAGACTCAGTTATGAATAAAAATCACAAGTAAAATAAAACATAACGAAATAGAAAAATAGAATATAAATTTACGTGGATCAACTTAAAAGCTTCCTCCATGGGTAAAATGCAGCAGCAAAGTTTTACTACTAACAAAAGGAGATTACACAAAATTCTTTAATCGAGAGAATAAAACTAAACTTGGAATTCCAATACAACCATCTTTCCAAATTCTTAAGGAGAACAAAGTCCAAACTAGTTTTCTATTATGAGTGGAATACAAGACACACAATAGACCCAATAATTTAACTACCTCATTATAATCAAGTCATAAAAATAAAACAAACAGGGCTTGTTTGATAGACATATTATTAGTGAGTTGAATATTAGATTGTAATATTATTTATTTAATCAAGTCTAATATTTTGTTTAGTAGATCAATTTGATGTCGTCTTAATTTCAAAAACGTATACTTATCATATGTTTTTTATATCCATAAACCTGAATTATGAATGTATTTTAATACCACCAAGAGAAGGGATATTATAATCAAACTTAAATGTATTGTTACACACATTTACTATTATAACTCCACAACTAAGAAAATCAAGCCGTAATCAATGTAACAAACACTGATTGAGGATATTTTTGTTAATTCAACATTAATACAATGAAATAATTTTCTAAACAAACAATTGTTTGGACTAAATAACTAATATCCAACGTTTATGTTGTGTATTGTCAAATATTAGATAAAATTACGTATTAATCTAATATCTCATTTAATCTTATTTTTTTTAATCTGTATTATATTATATTTAATTCTTTTATCTAATTCATTAATTTCTAATATGACAACCAAACCAAACGAGCCTACAAAGTATTAAAAGGGTTCAAGACTATTATTTTTACCTTATCCAGAGCCTTATACCAGTCTAAAGCTTGAAGCAAACATGTCTTAGTGTATTACAAAACAAAACAGAAATGATATATATTTCATATTTTTGTCATGTAGAAAATTATATATAGTTGATTGTCGTATATAATTGAGTTCATATTAATTCACAAGTTTTGTAGGTAAACTTGATTATAATTTGAACTTCTTAAGGCCAAATCAATTTTGGGTTACTCAAGTTGACGGATTATGTTAAGAATTAATAATCGTAATTATACATAGATTAAGTTATTTTTGACATAATCCTCCTTAAACTGATAATTGGATTTTCAAATGTGAATAAAAAAAAATAATGTTATACTTACCAAATTTTATATCCCAAATTAATGTGAGTGGTTGGATCAGTGGGGTCCACTAATTTCATCAAATATTCAATATATAAAAATTTGACACATTATTTGAGATACAAGATTTGATAAACAAATTAAAGCAGCACAATTTTATCCATAAAAAAAAAAAAAAAAGAGCAATGCTATATTCATAAAAAAATATGCACTAAAATTTGTACTAAATCACTTGTAGTCTTTAGATCAATGAGTTTCATTACTGATCTAACGATTGCAGTTAATTTAATACACAAATTTAGTGCACATAGGATTATCGTAAGAAAAATTCAAGATTATATGTTGTTGTTCGTTAATTAGACTCTGCCTTCAAGGCAATAATGGCAGAAAACTCATTGGATGCGGGTTTTATATCCCAGGCCCAAACAAGAGGAGCCGAGCACTTGCTCTTGCTCTTGCTCACGGGTTATCCGTTCGGTTCAAATGCGTAGGTCATAATTTGAAGGGCAAATTTTATTTTATAGCCTAAAAATTTAAGAATTTTTATTTTGTATCCTTAAATATTAGATTTTTTACATTATACTCTTAAATGTACTAAAATTGTTTTAAATTGACTATATTATTAGTTTATGTTACTAATTCTGTTAACGTCAATGAGGTGAGTTTTGACGAAATAAGTAATAAAATATAATAGAAGGGTTATATTATAATATTTTTAAGACATTAAGAGTTTAATGGAAGAAATATTATATTTGGGGGTATAAAGTAAAAAAGGCTTATATTGTTTGGGGGTACAAAATGAGATTCCCTCTAATTTGAAATAATAATGTTTTTTCTGGGGGACTAGGTTTATGTCCTTTCGTGATTCAAGCTCTAGTTATCGTCAAGACTCAAAAAGAGCCGTTAGCCTATCCATTCAACTTTTTTCAAAAGTGACCCATCTTTCTTTTATGTGTGGTCCCCTCTATTTCAAAATTGCCAGATTGTCCCCCTGCTGTAACAAACCAAAACGACGCTTATTCACATTTCAAAGTGATTGACCGGGGTACACTCAGCTCATAAATAAGAACGTTTTGTGTAGTGTGATTCATAAGTTTTTTTTTTTTTTTTTTGTTTCAACTATCAGAAATGTCTGAATTAGTTTATAAACACCTCAACTAATTCTTTCATTGATTTGGTCAAAAGCAGACAATCGATGCCAAAAATAGAATATTCATAAAGGACAAAATCATAACTACTTGACTCTAAAACGTTGTTAAGATTCGAATTCAAGACTTTTAAATTTATAACTCGTCTTTATTACCGCTTGAAGTAACCTTAGAATTATAAGTTTCTTTTTCGAATAGGGCCCATTAGCACTCCATATTATACTTACAGGGGTTGCTAAATGTATACATTTTTTTTTAACACAACGGCTATTTAAGATCAAAGATTTTTTTAACTAATTTTAACAATCTATAATATAAAATAGGACATGTTTCAATAAGCATATCTGACAGTTTCAGATAGACTCATCCAATGATTACTAACATCCATCTCAAAACTATTCACGTTATACTATGCCTTTAGATATGAGTTATTCCAAGTTCAATTAAAATATAGGACATGAATGGCGGTGTGTAAAAAACTCTCTAATAATTATAGTGGATCAAGAATGAGTGAATAAATTTGGATGCAACTGCAGTCGAAGTTCAAAATTTTGTTTCGAAACAGTCGATACATCTAAAACGTTTATGTTTTCAAGGAGAGCGAAACATATTAGTGATGAAATTTAAATTTTACGAGATGTTTCATATCGGAAGGTTTCAAGATGTTTTGATATATTTTGACCAATATTTTAGAAAAATAATTCTCTTATTTTTTTATTGTATTTTCGAAACAGATCAAAATATTTTCGAAATACATCAAAATATTTTCGAAATATATCAAAATATTTTCATTTCTTAGGTGTTCAAAATAATATACAAAAACAAAATTTTGATCCCGGAGTGTGTATAAACCTTAAAAACTGATCATCGAATTATATTGGGTAAAAAAATGAAGGTCCCATTGATTGAAAAGGGAAATGAAGGTCCCATTGATTGAAAAGGGTGACCTAAACCTTGATGCCATAATTTCCCTTTTTTTATAATAAGATTAAAACGTTAATTAAAGTTTAAACAAATGTAATGATGGCTAAGGCGTTGGGTAAAAACAGTGGGAAGTCGTTACACTAGATCATTCACTTTAAACAAAGTTAACTAATTCAAAAAAGTGGGGTTAGCTTTAATTAATCAATTCATAGTAGTTCGTTAACAATAGGGACAGTATCGTCATATTTTGAATTCTCAAACCGACTTTGAACACTGACAGCTCCGCTCCGTCCCCAGTGTTAGGCCTCTCTCTCCCTACTTCACTGATAGAGAGAGAAATCTGTTAGAAGAGGTAGAGAGAGAAAGCACTTTTTTTGAGTTTCTTTCTCTGGAATAGTTTCAAGTTTAGATTGAGAGAGAGAGAGAGAGTCATTCAAATTTTCTTGTTAGAAGCAGATTCAAATTCAATAATGGCTGGTTACGTTGGAGTGTTTGTGTCAGATCCATGGCTTCAGAATCAGTTCACTCAGGTGGAGCTTCGAAGCTTGAAATCTCACGTAAGTCTCTTTCTGTCAAGCTCAAAAATTCAAATCTTCCTATATATACTTAGAGTCTCTCATGTGTTGATTGATTGCGTTTTGATGTGTTATATGATCGGTTTTTGCAGTTCGTGACAATAAGGAGAGAGAAAGGTGGTCTGATACTCGCGGACTTGCCGTCGACAATGTCGAGGCTGAAACACGTCGGGGAGAATCTCACGGAACAAGAGAGAGCTTCTTTTCTTCAAGATTTGTATCAGAACTTGGACGATGATGTCGATTTTGAACTCTTTCTTCAGGTGAATCCGTATGCGCGTTTATACATGTATATTCATGTAGATAGAAAGGAGTCAGAGGAATATAGTTATTATAGTGTTTAATCATCCGTTTGGCTGCCGGGAAATTGTAGGAGAAGAAAATAAATTAAAAATCAAATCTAGGTTGTCTTTCCAATGTATGTTTGGGACTACCAACAAAATCAGAACGTTCTTGTTCAGTCCAGTTGAGCTATTTTCCGTTTGGAAAAATCAGAGTAACAAAAAGCATCAGACTCATGAGTTTCATTTCCTCTCTCTTCTCTTTTCTTCTCTTTTACGATGGTTTTCTAGCAATCGAACAGGGACTGATTGTTTTGAAAATTCCGGATTTAAATGTTCCATTTTTTGGGAATTATTTCTCAATCCCCTTGTTCTACTTTCCAATTTCTTTTCTGGTTCCCATTCCTTTTGAATTTTTGGCTGATTAGTATGCGATTTTTGGTAATTTATTGGCAGGTGTATTTGAAATTGCAAGCACATACGAATTCCAGAATGGGAAGTGGTGCAAAAAACTCATCAGCATTCCTCAAATCTCCTACTTCTACACTGCTTCACACAATCAGTGAATCTGAAAAGTCGTCCTATGTTGCGCATATCAATAATTACCTTGGAGAAGATGAATTCTTAAAAAAATACCTTCCTATAGATCCTTCAACCAATGATCTCTTTGAAATTGCGAAGGATGGAGTTCTTATCTGGTGATCATCACTAGTTGTGCTTATTCTGTCGAACTATGTTGTTTAATACTCTCTCTCTCTTTCTCTCTCTCAACCTTGATTATTTTTTTTTCACTTTCTAGCAATTAAAATTAAGATTATTGGATAATGTTCTTTAGTCCAACTAATTAGAAGCATAATGTTGGATGCAGTAAGCTTATAAATGTAGCGGTCCCGGGGACAATTGATGAACGGGCAATCAACACCAAGAGAGTACTCAACCCCTGGGAAAGGAATGAGAATCATACTCTATGCCTCAACTCTGCCAAGGCGATTGGCTGTACAGTAGTCAATATAGGGACTCAGGATTTTATTGAAGGAAGGGTATGTATACATGACATTTTTTTATATGGGTGCTCTCTTATGGGCTGAAACCTCTGATATTCTGCTTTTCTTTAGATTGTTCTTTCAGGCATTTTACTTGGGTGGTTGTAAATTTTTAATTCAAATTGATGGTCAAAGCTCCATTTCCTAAGCAAATAACTGGCACATTGCTGCATGCCCGGAAGGGTTTTGTTGCATTTAAGTTCTCCCATAATATTCTATCTCTTGCATTTCAGTTTTTCTGGCTACTTCTTTGGTTTGGTCTCTTTAGTTAGTTAACTTGTTTACTCGTTTGGCTGCTAAGCTTGATTAGCTGCTTGAATTTCTTTGTTAGAGCTGGATATTAGTCACTTTCATGGGATCAGTTCATGTCTTGAACTATAAAAACTAAACAGAACTGATGATGCACAAAATTGTCTCGTGCAAGATCAACAGTCGAGTATGTGATAAGGTGTAATTAATGGATAATAAATAAAGCAATCAATGACAGTAATGTAAATATTGAATCAACACGCAGATATTTAGTGGTTCGGTCCAAATAACCTACTCCACTCCGGGAAATGGCGACGATGGCCCGGAGGGGTCTTTATTGATAAATAAAGTAAGAGGGAGAATGCTCTGGGAAAGGTGTGCTCTGGGAGAAGTACAATAGTTAGGAGAAAAGCTATGTGTGTACAAAGGTGTAAAGGTAGAGGTCAATGTGTAATGAGATGCCCCTCTCAATGGAGAGAGCTTATATTTTATAGGTATGGTGAGGCGGTGATGTAAGTGTGAGGGTACTAGTTTCTCGGGAGGATAGTTATAAAAGATAAGTACAATTAAGGTAGCCTTGATCTTCAAGAGTGTGTATCCCGATGATTTCTCCCCCACGTGCTCTTTTCTTCATGAACTCCTCGGACCTTGGCTTGGGTCGAATTCACGAACTGGGCTTGACCTGCCTTTAAACCGACTTGGGCTTACTTGGTTTATTAGGCCTGGCCCAGTTGGATTTGGGCTCGTCAAGAACCATTCTGATGGATTACTGAGAAGAAGGTTCAGTTGTTTACAGTTCAATATGTCTGCGAGTCTAATTGACCCACTCGGTTTTTCAACCCAATTTGCTAAATTGGTTGATCAAAACCCCCTGCTTGTCCTAGTTCTTGTTGTTACTTATCTCAGGATTTTTGTGGACAATTTCATGCTTAAAATTGCTACTTTGTTATTGTATAAATTCCTAAAATCACTAAGGTTAACACCCAATTTTGTTTTATTTTCAGAGGCATCTTGTGCTTGGAGTAATATCTCAGATCATTAAGGTAAGATTCATTCATTTGTCTACTTTTCCAAATTCCCAATGATGATATGGAAATTATCTTTACACAATTTGAATTTTGAACTATGGTATCTAATCAAAGCTTTGCAGGATTTGCACCCCTATATCTGAGATTAGTTACTATCTATAAATGCATCTTACTGTGTATTTTGGGTTAATTTCTGACATTGCTAATGTATGCTATTCATAGATACAACTGCTGGCAGACCTCAATTTAAAGAAAACACCTCAGTTGGTGGAGTTGGTTGATGATAGTAAGGTGAAGCATGTTCTCTCACTTCAATGACAGCAATTTGATGCATTTTGTTATCTAATATCTGAAACATTCAGGATGTGGAGGAACTGATGAGTCTACCACCTGAGAAAATTTTGCTTAGGTGGATGAATTTCCAGCTGAAAAAAGCAGGATACAAGAAAACAGTAACAAACTTCTCTTCTGATATAAAGGTATATGGGTTCAATTGATCAGGATTTGTATCCATGGTTTGGATATCGCTAGTTTTTGAGCCTACAGTGTGTTTTTCATGCAGGACGGAGAGGCCTATGTCCATCTCTTGAATGTTCTTGCTCCTGAGCACAGTAATCCATCTACATTGGCAGCAAAAGATCCTTTACAAAGAGCAAAGCTGGTTCTTGAACATGCTGATAGGATGGGTTGCAAAAGATACTTAACAGCGAAAGATATTGTTGAAGGTTCTCCGAATCTTAACCTTGCTTTTGTGGCACACATTTTCCAGCTTAGGTAAGAAGCAGCTTTCTTCATGGAGATGAAATCTGTATGTAGGTTACACGCAGATTCTTTTGCAGTCATACAACTCTCTGAGGTTTGGCCATCCTCTATTGGATGCGCCTAATGAAACTGGTGGTAGACATTTCATCGGAGGAAGTGTCCTAGTGAAAAACAGGATACTAATGTAGGTCCATTATCATGGCCAGTAAAAAAACAGTGTTCCTTGTAACCATGCCATGATGGTGTTAGACTAAAATTGCTGAAAGAATTATCTGATGGGGATCAACCTGTTCTACTCTCTTGCAATAATAGACTAAATCATGCATTTTGGATTTCAATGTTTATGAGTATGATAGAAGCTGTCAGCCTGCCTGGTAGGTATTGTTTGATTTTGATTCTTGGTGGGTCCAATGGAGCATATTTGAACGCTAGGTGTGTTGGCCATGGAGAGTATTTCATCTATTGAGCTTGTCTTTGAACAATGATGATTTGCAATTTAACTCCTGATTTTGTTACGTCTATTGCCTGGTAACTGTGTGCGCTTTACTTGTAGGAACGGGCTTTCAAGCCAGACCAAGCAAATATCTTTTCTTGAAACTTCACCAGATGACACCCAAATCTCTAGAGAAGAGAAAGCATTTCGCTTTTGGCTGAATAGCCTGGGAAATTCAACTTATATAGACAACGTCTTTGAAGACCTAAGAAATGGGTGAGTATTTTCTTTATTACAATATAATACTTTTTTTTTTGCCCCTACAATTGTATTCAATTGGCATTTCATGCTTTATAGTTTGTAAATGATTCCTGAACAAAGTAAACTATAGCAAAGACCTTGAACTCTGCTTTGTAGTCATATCTTTGTTGAACTTAGATTGTCAGCTTCAAATTGCCTGGAGAAAATTGGAAATACCATGTTGGGAAAAGTTAAAACTTATTTTTAGTTTAAATATTCCGAACATTGTACGGGGTTGAAGCTAAATCTAAGGTTTCTTCCAAATTTTTTTAACATTGCTCTGATGGGCTTGTTTGATTTTATTCTGTGACTTCTATTTGTCCGCAGGTGGGTACTTCTAGAGACACTTGACAAGGTGTCGCCCGGGATTGTTAATTGGAAAGTTGCAACAAAGCCTCCAATTAAAATGCCATTTAGAAAAGTAGAAAATTGCAACCAAGTTGTCAAAATTGGGAAACAGTTGAAATTTTCCCTGGTTAATATTGCTGGAAATGATATTGTTCAGGGAAATAAGAAGCTGATATTGGGTATGCTCTCCATCATTTTATTCCTACGCACATTAGATGTCCTTCTGCAACATGTAAACATAGTTAATTAATTTTTTTTTTCAATGGTACACATCTAACTCCTGTCAAAGTAGTTTGAGATTTTTTATTAGACATTCAGAATTTAAATCTGATTCAAACGTATGGGATTCTTCCAGCTTATTTGTGGCAATTAATGCGATGCAACATGATTCAACTTCTAAAGAACTTAAGATCCCATTCCAGTGGGAAGGAAATCACTGATGCTGGCATTTTACAGTGGGCTAACACCCAAGTAAGGAATTCGGGAAACCAGAGCCGTATAGGAAGTTTCAAGGTACAATATCTGAAAGCATTTCTCCTTGGGTAAATATAGTACTATGGTTGCTTGTGACGCCTAGCTTTAGTTTTCATGGAAGTCCAAGATGTTAGGTCAATAGGCATCATAAATAGTGGTCCTTATCATTGTGCAGACAGAAGCTTAAAGCCTATTGTTTGTTTTGCATGTGGTAGTTATTTTTTTCTTGATTGGCATCACAGGAAATAATGGTTCACCAAACATGGCTGCCCTCCTTATTCTACGATGTTTATTTTCTGTTTTCTTTATCTCTCTGACATTTATGATGGAGAATTAGTGGGCAGGAGGCTTTGAGCATTAAATTTTGAATGATAGAATAAAGCAACAGTATACCAGATGGATTAAGGAATCTAATATTTGGTCATTTCTTCAATATACTCCGAATTTCTGGGAATTTTTAAATATCAGGCGATTGAAGCATTTCAAAACTCTCTGTAAGATATCTACGTGGTAGTTCTCATGAAATGGACGGTCATAATCATAAATAGTTGTTGTTAGACATGTTGAAATTGTAATTTCAATGATTGATAATTCCGGCACTAATGGAAGTCCCATTTCGCTATATATTTGTATTACTTTTAATTTGTTTCCACCATTATAGTCCTGGTAAAACTGAAGGTCAATTTTGATTACTTTAATGGGATTCCAATGTGTAACCGAACAGAGAGAGAGAGAGAGAATTTGTATGTGAATCTGCCTAAGCCTGAAAGTCGTACCTGATTTCAAAGTTGACTTAATGCACAGCATGCAAAAATTTATTTGACCTCAGGCTTCACAACTAGTATCAAATTATAGCATCCATATAGCCATAAAAAAGTGTGATACATACAAAAAAAATTCATGGGACCAAAATTTCTGTCAGGTTAGTATCAAATTATAGCATCCCCGGAAATTTCGCATATAGCCATAAAAATGTGATGCACACAAAAAAAAAATTCATGGGTCCAAACTTTCTGTCAGATTGAGTCTGCACAAATGGAAATCTAATGTAATAAGATCAAATTACACATTTTGATTGGGTATTTAGATCTTAACTCATTGACAACCATGTGCAGAAGGTTCACATCATTTAATGGGCAACATGTCAACAGCAAGATCTTCTTAACCAACTTTTCTTGCACCCAAATGTCACATCATCACTCCAAGTATTCAGATCGAATTATTTTTATATGTTTATTTGAATTTTGATTTTGGAGGCTCTCTTGTGTTTTGTGTTTGCAATGCTGTCATGATAATCAGTCGGATACATTTGGCTGACAGTTTTTAGTGTTTACAATGGCATTTACGAACTTCGATTTTATAGGATAAGAGTTTGTCAAATGGCATTTTCTTTCTTGAGCTGCTTAGTGCCGTACAGCCTCGAGTGGTTAATTGGAGTCTTGTTACAAAAGGAGAAAACGGTATGTCTTCTGTTTTTTATGATCAAAGCTTCTTAAATTTGTTGTGTTGATTACTAGCTGTGCATAATATTGCTTAGAGATTTCTTTTGTATTTATTTAAACAATATGAAGCTACATTGCACTATGCTCAGTAGGAAGCACGGACACTTCATTTTGGGCAGAGTGTCGGTGTCGGACAAGTCTGGGACACAGACACGTTTCGGACACGCTCGGACATGTGTCGGACACGTTAAAATGAGTGTCCGATTTTTTTATTATTAAATTTTTTTTAGGACATGTTGGGACACGTGGCCGACACGTTCNATTGCACTATGCTCAGTAGGAAGCACGGACACTTCATTTTGGGCAGAGTGTCGGTGTCGGACACGTCTGGGACACAGACACGTTTCGGACATGCTCGGACATGTGTCGGACACGTTAAAATGAGTGTCCGATTTTTTTATTATTAAATTTTTTTTAAGNTTGGAAATACCATGTTGGGAAAAGTTAAAACTTATTTTTAGTTTAAATATTCCGAACATTGTACGGGGTTGAAGCTAAATCTAAGGTTTCTTCCAAATTTTTTTAACATTGCTCTGATGGGCTTGTTTGATTTTATTCTGTGACTTCTATTTGTCCGCAGGTGGGTACTTCTAGAGACACTTGACAAGGTGTCGCCCGGGATTGTTAATTGGAAAGTTGCAACAAAGCCTCCAATTAAAATGCCATTTAGAAAAGTAGAAAATTGCAACCAAGTTGTCAAAATTGGGAAACAGTTGAAATTTTCCCTGGTTAATATTGCTGGAAATGATATTGTTCAGGGAAATAAGAAGCTGATATTGGGTATGCTCTCCATCATTTTATTCCTACGCACATTAGATGTCCTTCTGCAACATGTAAACATAGTTAATTAATTTTTTTTTTCAATGGTACACATCTAACTCCTGTCAAAGTAGTTTGAGATTTTTTATTAGACATTCAGAATTTAAATCTGATTCAAACGTATGGGATTCTTCCAGCTTATTTGTGGCAATTAATGCGATGCAACATGATTCAACTTCTAAAGAACTTAAGATCCCATTCCAGTGGGAAGGAAATCACTGATGCTGGCATTTTACAGTGGGCTAACACCCAAGTAAGGAATTCGGGAAACCAGAGCCGTATAGGAAGTTTCAAGGTACAATATCTGAAAGCATTTCTCCTTGGGTAAATATAGTACTATGGTTGCTTGTGACGCCTAGCTTTAGTTTTCATGGAAGTCCAAGATGTTAGGTCAATAGGCATCATAAATAGTGGTCCTTATCATTGTGCAGACAGAAGCTTAAAGCCTATTGTTTGTTTTGCATGTGGTAGTTATTTTTTTCTTGATTGGCATCACAGGAAATAATGGTTCACCAAACATGGCTGCCCTCCTTATTCTACGATGTTTATTTTCTGTTTTCTTTATCTCTCTGACATTTATGATGGAGAATTAGTGGGCAGGAGGCTTTGAGCATTAAATTTTGAATGATAGAATAAAGCAACAGTATACCAGATGGATTAAGGAATCTAATATTTGGTCATTTCTTCAATATACTCCGAATTTCTGGGAATTTTTAAATATCAGGCGATTGAAGCATTTCAAAACTCTCTGTAAGATATCTACGTGGTAGTTCTCATGAAATGGACGGTCATAATCATAAATAGTTGTTGTTAGACATGTTGAAATTGTAATTTCAATGATTGATAATTCCGGCACTAATGGAAGTCCCATTTCGCTATATATTTGTATTACTTTTAATTTGTTTCCACCATTATAGTCCTGGTAAAACTGAAGGTCAATTTTGATTACTTTAATGGGATTCCAATGTGTAACCGAACTGTGAGAGAGAGAGAGAGAGAGAGAATTTGTATGTGAATCTGCCTAAGCCTGAAAGTCGTACCTGATTTCAAAGTTGACTTAATGCACAGCATGCAAAAATTTATTTGACCTCAGGCTTCACAACTAGTATCAAATTATAGCATCCATATAGCCATAAAAAAGTGTGATACATACAAAAAAAATTCATGGGACCAAAATTTCTGTCAGGTTAGTATCAAATTATAGCATCCCCGGAAATTTCGCATATAGCCATAAAAATGTGATGCACACAAAAAAAAAATTCATGGGTCCAAACTTTCTGTCAGATTGAGTCTGCACAAATGGAAATCTAATGTAATAAGATCAAATTACACATTTTGATTGGGTATTTAGATCTTAACTCATTGACAACCATGTGCAGAAGGTTCACATCATTTAATGGGCAACATGTCAACAGCAAGATCTTCTTAACCAACTTTTCTTGCACCCAAATGTCACATCATCACTCCAAGTATTCAGATCGAATTATTTTTATATGTTTATTTGAATTTTGATTTTGGAGGCTCTCTTGTGTTTTGTGTTTGCAATGCTGTCATGATAATCAGTCGGATACATTTGGCTGACAGTTTTTAGTGTTTACAATGGCATTTACGAACTTCGATTTTATAGGATAAGAGTTTGTCAAATGGCATTTTCTTTCTTGAGCTGCTTAGTGCCGTACAGCCTCGAGTGGTTAATTGGAGTCTTGTTACAAAAGGAGAAAACGGTATGTCTTCTGTTTTTTATGATCAAAGCTTCTTAAATTTGTTGTGTTGATTACTAGCTGTGCATAATATTGCTTAGAGATTTCTTTTGTATTTATTTAAACAANATATATATATATATATATATATATATATATATAAAATACATATTATTTAACGTATCCGTGTCCTACTTTTTTGAAAAATTTCGTGTCGGCGTGCCCGTGTCGTGTTGTATCCGTGTCCCGTATCTGTGTCCGTGCTTCTTAGCTCAGTATTAAGGGCACTGTTGATTGGATGCATGTTGCCAATGTTTTATACACATTCAAAAATATGTGTGTGTATATGTGTGTGTTTGTGTCCACATATATATTTATTATTTCTGACTTGTGTTTGTGGAAATGGAAATGGTCATTAGTCTAAAAGTTTGTTTTACATGCACTGAGTTGTCCGTGGCAGCCTTTTTCAGAGGCAGGGATGTGTTGTCGATGGTAGTGAATTTATCCATGTATGAAATTTGGTTTGGTGATTTATTTTGTTATGTTATTTCTAAATAATTAGGTTCATCTAGAGTTTAGTTCTATTTTAATGTGATAAATCATGCACATTCTTTATGGAACTTTTCTTTAAGCTATATGGGATAGTGAAAGTCATTTTACTTGGTTCTTGCTTTTCTTTGGGTTCATTTCACTAGGAATATACTTGGAACTGATCATTTAATTTATTTAAAATTTGGGTTGATGTAGAGGAGGAGAAAAAGATGAATGCCAGCTACATCATCAGTATTGCAAGGAAACTTGGATGTTCAATATTTTTGCTTCCGGAAGACATAACTGAGGTAATTTAAAGGCTCCTAGATGGGTTATTCCAGGTCTAAAGTTTTTTCCTTGGGGCATGTACAAAATTTCTTCACTTCCCCCTGAATATAATAAAAATTGCAGAATTTCCACATGTAGCAGGACTTCAAGTCAGTCTATTGCATTTCACTGGGAATTGAGAACGAGAGCATTAGGTTTTATGTCGATGAATGATTTTAACTATTTTAGGATTATGTCCATCCAAGTCGGTAACCCTAGCCATCACATCTATCCGAGCATTTCTGCTTTAAGCTTTTTGGACAAATAGGAATCAAATTGTTAGCCCATGTTTCCTACTTACATATAGGTGCTGTAGTTGGTGTTGTTCTGTCTTCTGTGTTTTCTTTGGCTTTCAGGTTCTCGGGTTAAATGTCCTAATTCCAATACGGTGGATAGTCAATATAGCTGCATTGCAATTGCCCCTATCTCATATGCAGATATTTCGTGACCACGCCGAAGAAAAATAATTCAGTCTTTCTAAATGGAGCTTATGTTTTCTTCTATTATCCTACTAGTTGCACCAGTATTTGAACTCATGTGAGGGGTGTTTTTCAGGTAAATCAAAAGATGATTCTCACATTGACAGCAAGTATCATGTATTGGTTCTTGAATCAACCTGTAGAAGAGAAACCATGCGGGTCTTCAGATAGTGAGTGCGGGAGCCAGGTGGAGACAACCTCAACCTTGACAAATGACGACACTGCTTCTGATTCGTCAATAGATTAGACATGGGAGATGGTTGTGAATTGTATACAAGTTTTGTTATATTTCTATTGATTGTTCCGAAAATGATCTTTAATTGTCTTAAGAATGAGATTTGATTTGAACTGGAGTGTTTTATCAGGAATTTTTGAGTTAGCAATGGCTAATGCATATGTGAATAGTTATCAAAATTTATTTATATCGATGATGAGAGTGCATTTTTTATTCTTTTTGAGTATGGGTTGGTTATGCGTTTAAACTCTATTCATTTTCTATGCTCATATTGTGAAGCATTATTATTATTATTATTATTTTTGGGTCAATGGTCAAAAGTATTCGGGTCAATTTACGTATATTTTAACTAATTTTTTTTTCGGTCTGGTCAAAGCAGATCATCTACAGCGGGATTATGATATTCAAAACAGATAAATTTCTCATAACTTGACCGTAAAATTTATACTCATAACATTTAGACTTATAATTCGGCTCTGTTTTTACTTGAAATTGAGGCATTGTTATTATGAAAGTTGGTCTCCGGACAACCCACGAGGATGCACATATAAGAACAGCATATGTGATGTTTAAGTTTTGCGATCTGTCTTCCTTGAGATTTGTTAGATATGTTTAATCAAAGACAGTAGTGGTGGAGAGCGACTGCTATGATGTGGCTCCGGTTGCCCGCTGGCATTTTGATGTATATTTTTCTCTAGGGTCTAAAAATCACTTGATAAGATTCCGCCGACTCGTGAGGTGTCATTTCTTAATTTGAGCTTCTAGATAGCAGATTTGAAAATCACATAAAAAAAAAAAAAGAATGTAATTTAATATAAATCACCCTCCACTCATAATGGTGTTTGGAAGATATAAGTTGCGAATAGTCTTACTCTTATTTGAGAGAGACCGTCTCTTAAATTCGAATCCACTACGTGGACATCCCACAATACATTTGCATGACAGCGAAGTTGCTAATATTTCATACTCATATCTGAAGTGTTATACCCTATTATTAGTACATACCACATAAATTGAACATCGCACCTAGCTAATTTTTCAAAAAAAATCTAAAGTGAAAGCCTAAAATCCAAACCTCACCTCTTTCTATTGAGTTACCAATTGATTTTTTTGTTAGTGTCGAGGTTTTAACTCTGTGGAACCTGTGATACATTTTAGTACTATCGCTTTGGAATAAAATGGAGAAAACTAATTCAAACTATGTATAGATTTATCTTAGATATAAATTCATCAAATAACTAATTATTACTTTCACATAATCACTCAATATGGAGTGAAAAAAAATATTATAGAAGTTATGGGACAAGTATCATATAGGAACACTAGTTATATTTCGTGTCCAAAAGGACAATGAAATATAATATTTGAACGTTAAAAAAAATTGATCTTATTATACCAAGTAACAATTTGTTATTTCTTTGTTCATTTGATTGCATCATTTAAAATTATTTTATTAAAAGTTGCATAAAATTTTCTCAAAATATATAATCTGACAAAATTTTCTTAACATGGGTACATTACCATGTATGGACAAAGTATAAAATAAAAATTGTGTTAAACTATAAATTAATCAAATATTAAATGATTGAACATGCGTTAGAAACTTAGAATTGAATGATGTGATGAATTTTTTTTGAGGGGGGAAGAANGGACAAAGTATAAAATAAAAATTGTGTTAAACTATAAATTAATCAAATATTAAATGATTGAACATGCGTTAGAAACTTAGAATTGAATGATGTGATGAATTTTTTTTGAGGGGGGAAGAAATGTGTATGTGATAAAATTCAACTTGTGAGTTATCTTATTATATCGATTGTATGTTTTTGAACTCTTTTAAGGGTAGTTCAGTGGTTAAGCCCGATCTTTAATAACCTAGATGTCTCAGGTTCAATTTCTTCTCATACTCTTAAAGGTTAGCAATCATTGTTCTTTAAGTGNGTAGTTCAGTGGTTAAGCCCGATCTTTAATAACCTAGATGTCTCAGGTTCAATTTCTTCTCATACTCTTAAAGGTTAGCAATCATTGTTCTTTAAGTGAGATATTCTAACTCAGCTCAAGTCACAATGACTAACCGTTAAACTCGAGAAAATAATCGGTGTAAATCTAAACACTTTGTAACAAAAAAAAAAAAAGACATTGTATGCTCTTGCAAAAGTGCAAAGAGAGATACTTACCGGGAAAAAAACATGCAAAGAGATGAACAAAACAAAAGATCCTTAAGGGTACCTTCCCCGAAAACAAGAAAAAAATTTCCTAATGGTGGCCGAGTGGTTAAGTTTGACTTTAATAATTTAGAGGTCACAATTTTATTCTTTTTTCACCTCTCCTTTTTATTTTGGAGGTATATGCTCTAACTCAGCTCAAGTCTTAGTGATAACCATCAAACTCAAAAAAATAATCAGTGTAAATATGCACACCTTATAAAAAAAAATTAAAAAAAGGGATGAACAAAACGAGCGCGAATAAATGCCTCAAAGTCATATATTACACAGTCCAATACTATACAAATTTAAAAAATTGATTTAAAAACCTGATTTAATAATTTGATTGTTATATTTGTTATTGATTTAACTGTGAGTTCCAATAAATATTAGGACTCGTTACTTATTTAATAGTAGTGATTCATCAAGTCAAATTTTTAAGTTAATTTTTTTTAAGTCTAGTATTTTCCTGTTATACACCATCTTAGCCCTAAGTATAGAATTTTTTTTGAAAACTTGGGAGGGGCATCACCCTTGGACTGTAAACCAACCTAACCCAACCCAAGTACCAACCTAACCCAACCCAACCCAACCCAACCATATTATAGCTCAGTGCCTATTAAGGAATTTACACCTGGCGGTGAGTCACAATCCAATTCAGTGGTCCTAACAAAGGATGGAAGGAACCTTTTCTTATCTAAACAGAACCCCTAATAATATAATTATGAGATTAGTTAAGAAGTCTTAGTATTAAAGCTTTTTTGTATGTTAACCAATAGGCAAGCTGGCCCTACCATGTTCCTCTTTCGCCATTGAAGCTCACCCTCTTTAAAGTATACAGCTCTAGGCCTCAACAATGTTACACACACCACATTTTTTATATCATTTTTGTATGTCACCTCAACATAAATAATTAAATTAATAGGTCCAACAAATTTTATTTTTTTTTGGTTTAACAGTTAGAAGTGTCTGAACTAATTTACACATATTTCGACTAATTTCCTCATTAGTTCGGTCAAAAAGCAGATCATCCATGTCGAAACTAAGGTATTTATGAGAGATTTATCTTTCATAGATTGACCTTAAAATATTGTCAAAATTTAAACTCAAGATGTTTGAATTTACAATTCGTCTCTATTAACACTTGAGTTATTCCTTACAATTTTTTTACAAAGTTTATTAAATATTTAATAACTCTGATTATGCCACAAGAAGTGATACACAAAGGTGGTATCCACCACAGTATTCATCCTTTTCATGCCTGTTTCATTGTTCTTTTTCAAGTACTTTACTTGCTTCTTTAATTGTGACCATAGAGGAAGAAGATCAGAAAGCAAATTCAAATGTTTCCCTAATTGTGGAGAATTGCTTCGAGGAAGATCTCTTTATATCTTTTTTTATTCTTTCCAAGATTACTTTAATTTCTTGTTTAAATACATTATATGACACCACTTTGATAGATTTTGGCTTGAAGGTCGGTAAATTTTGATATGATACAACGTGGACACAAAATTATATCATGATAATTGATTAATTTTTGACATGAATCACAAAATGACACGACTAGGTGACGCGAAATAGTAAATAGGTTGGTTAATTAGTGTGAAATATAAATAATCTTACTCTAACAATAAATCCAATCAAATGGTATTGTATGAAAAAAAATGCACAATTTTTTTATTTAATTCTCTTATTTCGTTATTTTTTTGTAAAACTAGAGTATTTTTAAAGTCGTCCTTAAATTTCATGTGGTTATCAAATAGGGTTCGATACACAGGAATAACGCAGGATTTTGGTGGTACTATGGTGATGGACTACCCTTTCAAATTAGTATCTGTGACCCAAATCGAACATTCAAATAACTTGGTTTGCCTAACATTCAGATTGAGTAGACTTTTAGTTTATGGTAGCTGGGTGAAGGGTTTGGTCAAGAGCAAATAAAGTTCAAATCCAAAATTTCTAGTAAAAGGATGATGTATGTGGATCCAAATAAGACAGATCAATGAACATGTCGATTAGACAACTTACATTATTAATTAATTAAATGGGTCAATTTAATTAAATTTAATTAGGACTCCATAGAGACCAAAAATGATACAATTTTTAGGTTTACCATTCAAACAAGACACAACACGGACTAACCACTACCTTGGTATAAGAATAATATTCCTCGAGGGATGCGCCAGCTCTCACACCGCCGGGCTAGCCCAGTGGTTCGTTTATAGATCATAGGTCACATGTTACATAGTATACTTATTTTATTGAGTTGTTGTGTTATTCTTTGTTTGGCTTTGTCATGATTAATCAAATTTAGTCCCAACCATCAACAAAAAGACTACCCTCAGGGCTCCACAGCCTAGGGGTTTCACATGACATTATACATATATTTGTAACTTGATTTTGATCTTGAGGGGTTAATCCTATCTTTTAGTGTCTCTTTTTTGTAACATAAATATAATGATCTCAATCACGTATTTTTTGAACTCATAATTACAATATAAATACGTGAATATACATAATTACGCACAAATTATATGTATCGGTTAAACTTGAGTTTTACGTGGTTAAAAAAAACTCAAAGTTAGAACTTATGATTTTTCTGTGTCGCTCTTTGTTCGATCTTTGAACCAATCCGTTTGGCTTGATCTTACTTTGTGATCATGTATTCAATCTTTAATGAGATACACAGAGAATCCCTCTTAATACTATTTCGAAAAATAGTATTTAGATCTAATTTAAAAACTTAATTCAATGCAACTATTAGATTGAAAATAGATTTCATCTAACATAATGATGAAATCCCTACTGATCCAACTATTAGATTTTATCAGTAGGTCCCATTTAAATCCCTCTTAATGCCCACAAGTACGATAGAATTTAAATGGTTTTGAGAGGGATATTGGTGACCGTTGGATAAGTCTATTTAAGACCGTCGGATGAACTTATTAAAACCTACTATGTTTTTATATTATAAATTTATAATATATAACATGTTTTAAAAATGCACATAAGGTCAATATTATACAAACCACATGTAACTGTTTCGGTTGAATTTGAAGCCATGTGTATAGGGTTATCACATCAACAGTGACTTTAAAAAATCCCAAAAACCTCCTCCACTTTACTCTGGCCCAAGGGAAAAAGGATTCTCAAATCTCGGAGAGTTTGAGATATTTTTAGAGTGGGAACTATGAATATCCAGCCTAAAACCCGTTCTTAGGTATTTATAGGGCGAAAAACGAAGAAAAACGTCGAAATTGATCAGAGTAATTTCAGAGGTATGTCCGAACAGCCATATTGAATCCGAACGGTCCAAACTCACATAAACTTCACAGGTGTGTCTAGACGGTGTTGTCTGCGTCCGAACACAAATGGCTTTCTGCTTCAGACTTCAAACTCGACATTGGATTTGATTTTGACGTAGTTAGAAATCGATTTTCGAATATTCTATGAAATACATTTTTTATCACTTGAAATTTAGTTTCTACTGTCAAAATATCAAAGCAATCGGATATCGGGGTAAAACATTATAACCAGAATATTGAGGTAGTGTGAAATCCCATCCTACCTGAATACTCTTCAAAATGTGTTTTAACTCTGAAATACTTTCAAACTTCTAATACACCCCATATTTCATCTCCTAAAGTTTCTCAACCTTTCGGATTCAATGGTTGTCTTATTTGGACCTAAAAACATTTAAAAACTTACCTAGCTAGCTTCTCAAGCTTAAACACCTCTCAAACTTCATAATCAATCTTTTAATAATTATATGAAGTTTCTACCATCATTTTAATCATTTTAGGAGAATTCTTAAGATGATATTATCCTTATTTAATTTTAATACACAAATGGTCTTATCTCTTAGTTAGATTTGAAACGTAATTTTCATTTGTCTTCATGGTTGGCATGTAAGTTCTTTCGTTCTTTCTTCCTTGAGAGAGAGAGAGAGAGAGAGAGATCATTTTGCTCTACTAGACATCTTTTTATGACAATAATTAATCGATAAAAATAAACAAAATGGAGTTTGTATTTCAATTTATTGTACCCTACGTCTTATGTGGACGCAGGTACATAATTTGAGATTGAGTTTGTCTGACCACAATTTGCTTCTGATCCCCATTCTCTTTAGAAACAGACCAAATTTATCACCACACATAAAAAAAAAAAAAAAGTTGTCATAACCCATCACACATACTCAAAAAATGTAGAGCTTATATGTTGCCTAGACTCTCAAAATTAGTTGCAAAAATTAGAGAATGTCACAAACAAATCAAGTTGAAACTCCTACTCTCCTAACTTAGTATGAAGTGGACTTCAACAAATATTTCATGATAATAGTAAGGTTATATTTCAAGCTATTTTGTTTGCTTTTGTTTAGTTGGCTTAGGGTTTAGAATTCATTGAAACCTTCTACTTCAATCTCAATTTGATAAATTCTTTTTCCATAATAAAAAGAGAAGGTGATATAGCTCGAACACGCCTACCCTCACATGTGCAAACCACTTAGGCATTCATAAATTTGATACTTCAATCTTTAAGCTATGTATTCCCTAAAACTAATGTATTTGAATAGGTTTGGTAATTTTACAAAAGGGTTTGCTTCAATAATAGGAGTGCGGGTCTTGACACAAAAATAAACTTAGTTTATTGTGGCTTAAACGTTACGGGTTCGAGACAAGAAAATAATTTTTTTCAAATATACACTTAAAGAGTTTGCGTATGTATATGATCCTCTCCAAATTCTATGGTAATAAGAGATGCAGTGAGCTAGTTTTCATATTTTCTTGTATCCATAATTGCTAATTGAGAAGTTAATTTCATGCATGAGTGTGGCGTAGAATTTGATTAACTAAAATGTTGATGTGCAGGCCAGAAATTTCAACAAATACATGGAAAAAAGTCAACCGGTTTGGAAATTCTTAAAGAAAATCAATCATGGCGGATTCAAACCTCTTCAATCATATTATTAAAGAAGATGAAGAAAACATAATGGAAACAAAATGGACATCCTCCGGACATTACACCACTATGGCACTGTTCCTGTCCACCCACCATCAAGATGGCCGCCGCCACCACCATCACCACCACTTTCCCTCACCAACTGCACCACAAAAGTCTACCATCGCTGTCACCGCCACCACCACCGCCATGGGCAGTCGGCCCAACAGAGACAAAGTAGGTGACGTAGCCAGTGGGAGAAAATATAAACGCACACAATAATAGAACAAAAAAATGAGAAGTAAATGTCCCACCAATTCAAGTGGGTAATGGAACCATGTGCGATCATATGGTGGTTGGGCCTTTCCGGGCCCACAAAACTCACTTTTCACCTCCAAACCCCAACCCTTGAAAATGAAAGATGAAACAAAACCTATTATTCATTCAATTCAATTATATGATAGAGCAATACTACATCTATTTAAAAAGTAGATTAAAAGAATTTATTCTCAAGTCTCTGCCTCTCTTCTCACCGCCCATTTCCAATCTCTTCTCTCCCATAGTCCCATTCTTTCTTTTTCTTCATTCCCTTCACACGTTCATTCCTGACACACACAACTCTCTCTCTCTCTATCCTGTTGTTTGTATAAGCTGATACTGTGTCAGAAGTCAGAACTGTAGTTTCCTTTTGTCCTTCAGAGCATGGAGGCCCCTCTGTGTCAGAAGAAAATCTTAATCTGAAGGGTTGTTTGATTGTTTCTCTTTCAGTGTCCATCCCAAAAAGAAAGCAATCTGTATGCTGTAAATACAGCAACATATCATACCCATCAGTCCGAAACCCTAATTTTTGTAAGACCTCATCACCTTCTTTCTACAGCTTTTGTTTTGGCTACAATGACTCTTCATCAACATTTACCCTCCAACCCTAGATCCATTAAAACTAGGTTTGCTATTCGGTTTCTGCAAACCCTAAAGAGACTCAACAAAAACAGACCCATTTCATCATCTTTGAGAGAGATTCATGGCAGATACCGGATAGTTAAGCTCGCTGCTGATGCATCCATGGCGTCTGTAGTTGGATCAAGACGAGTTTGGAGTCGAGCGTTGCTCTGGAAAATTCGAAACCGTGCACTGCGATGTAATTCAATGAAACGAAAGAGAATTCATGCGTTAAGGGTAAGGAGAAGAGGTGGAGGAGGACACCCAACGAGAGAGAGTGGTTTTGGTCAAGCCAATGACCTTCGGAAACTTGTACCCGGCGGTGAGGTTATGGATATATGCAGCTTGTTGGATGAAACTGCGGATTATATAAAGTGTCTCACCACCCAGGTACAGGTCATGAGAAATATTGCTGATTTATATACTTCTTGAGCTATACTGTGATGAATAATTGCGCAGGATGAACAAATTGAAGAAAGAGATGATCATAGTCTGCGTGTTTCAAATATATATCTTTCTCTCGCTCTAAGAAACAGATAGGTCAATGGAAACTGGGTTGCAAGTTGCTGAATACAGAAGTAAAGATCAGCCGTACCACTTCATATTTCATAAGAAAAACATCTTGTAAATTGGACATGTTTTGTTGTCTTTCTGCTAAGGTAATGAGTTTTATACTTTTATTCCCCGTGTACAGAAATATGTTTCCTAATTCTATCCTTTTACCGGCAGTTGCTTGTTGATTTTGTTACCCTTTGATTGCGTAAAGGAAACTGTGCCATAAACTGACCCCTTCTCTCTCTCTCTCTCTCTCTCTCTCTCTCTCTCTCTCTCACACACACACACACACA